TTTTTATAATTTTCAGGGTTATTCAGGAGTGATGACGCCGGTGTTTCGCGAAAATAAAATTGTATTTATAGGAGATTGCAAAAGACCGTAGGAAACTTTTATAATTTTTACGATTATTTAGAAATGTTTCAAATCATCCAATTATTTAGAAATGATTCAAATCACCCATTATTTGCCTAAAAGTTGTAGTAAAGAATATTTAGGGGAACCTGAATCTACTAAGAAACTAATAGTAATTCATTTTGAAAATATATTTAAATAATTTAGAGAGCGAAGTTGGAGACTATATTTAAGAACTAATTCTTCCAGTTTTATAAGAATTAGTTTAATTTATCGGTTTCATGCCGCCGCCAGCTCGGGAAGTAATGTTGAAGTTCAGAGGAGTTCATTCCCCTATGAAAGGATTATGTCAAGACCTTCAATTAATTTGAAGTGGTACCGGGGGCCTAACTACTTTGTTTCCTCCAAAAGTTCACTTTCATTATTTCTATTGAAGCCACCTCTTGAGTTTCGAAGAGCAAACGGTTGCCAGAGTTCTGGTGGGCTATAATCTTTGAAAGACTGGTCAAATTAAAATAATTTCCAAAAAAGCTGAATAGTAAATTAATGTAGATGCAGAAAAGTGAAAGAATACGCTGACATCGGAGACTTCAATCTGAAGTAATTAAAACGGCAGTCATCCACTTCCTCAAAGTTTGTTTGTTTACTTGAGCTACATCTGTGACGCTCAATTAACATTAATTATGCTTGAAAAAAGTTTTGTATATAAGATGGAAAGGCTAGGAACTGCTATTCATTAGAGCTCTGTTTGGAAAAATGAAAAAAGATGTAATTAAACTTAATTATAATTATGTGCAGTAAAAATAAATATAAAGGAAAAATGTAATGTAATGATCGCGGAATGAGTCACGCATTAGATTTTTTAGATTGTTTATTTGTTTTTTTGCATTTATTTTTTGTATTCAACCCCTACAAAAGTTGTGAAGTCTAGTCGATCTAATGATCACAAAGAAGAGGCGGTAGGCAGCTGACTTGACCTAGCCTGAGCTTGGTGAGGGTTATATCCTGGTATCAAAAGGATAAAGGACAAAGTCTTGGAGCGTTAATCAATCCCGTCCGAGGGATGCGCCCCGCACTCGACTTCCATTCAGAATCGCAGAGGCTTATTGAATGTGTATGTGGCTTATACAATGACCTACAGTGGCCAGCCGATGTACAAGTCAGTACTTCTATCCTGACAGAGAGTCTGGTACCGATTAACCAACCCCTAAGAGGTGGAAAGCTTGGTTGGCCCAGGCGGATATCAACATGGGGATTCGAACCTGTGACCACGCGTATAAGAAGTGCTCCAATTTCCCTACACCACCTCTGCCTCGTAACCCTCATATTAGAACCGAAAATACTAAGCTGTAAAAAGCAAGTTCTATGTGTCCCAATAAGTTCAAAAAAAAGGAGAGTCAAAGGATTTCATGTAATCGCTGGTTACATTGTGAACATCCCTTTACGATGCGGGTTACCCCGGGTGACATGACTTAGCTTAGCGTATGTTGAATATCTTCAATATTTTGAACGCTGAAAAGTCTACCATTTAATGTCGTTTTCACTTTTTGCAGTTGAAAGATGCAGTCTCGTTAAGATTGCAATGTAAAAATGAAATGGGTAAAAGTTCTGGCGTCGCCTAGTCTGAATGCGCCATGCTTTCGTCTTCCATTCAGAGTCATCGTGGGATTTGAATGCGAATCTGGCTTATACAATGACTATAAGGGAGCGGATGATGAGCAATTGAAATGAAAGCTTTTATGCACACAAACTAGTTTGGCTAATTAGCTGGCTTGGGAGACATGGAATGCTTGGCCTATCTACCGGGAACTGACTCCACTGACTATACGGCTGAAGCCACATGGCATCACTCAACCTCATCCCATATGAAAATGAATGACTCAAGAAATGCAAACGATATTTTCTCATGAAAGACGCTTTTAAAATTGAGACGTCCGCGAAGCTGTCAGCCTATTTACTCATTTAATTAAGCAATGATCCGGCAACAGTTTTTCTAAATTTCCACGTAATGCGATGATTTCGTATGGTAACGGTCAATGATTCCTTAGAATAATTGTCTTTCTACCAACGGAATCAGAGCTCCGAAAGCTTTGTAAGGCTGCAAGCCAGCAGCAGAGGTCTCCCTTACTGAGCATCAGTTTTTGAAGTAGAAAGTTTTTGTATGAAACAAGTCCCAGCCAGAAATTTGCTGGTCAGTAGACGCCAGTTTTTTATAATATTGGCGAACTCCGTGATCAAGAGCGGCAGGTGCTTATGGGTTAGATGTGAGGGATATGGACAGTTCTATAACTTACAAGTAATAATCATGAAATAGGCATAACAGAAATAAAATATAAATAATGTAATTTCAGAATGGTTGCTCATAATGGTGAAATAAATACCCTCCGTGGTAACATCAATCTGATGCGAGCACGTGAAGGAGTGATGTCCAGTACGCTGTATGAAGATGATCTCGTGAAACTCTATCCAGTTGTTGAAGAGGTTTGAAATTTTACAAAAAGTTCACCTGAAAACTGGATTTCTCAAATTCCCATGGGAATTCTCCCGTTTCATGCGAGTTCGTCGCATGTTCTGTCTTCAACAGCAAGTACCTAGCCCGGATTATCAATGTCATCCCCACTTGGGTAACGAGAGTACCAATAGGTAGCCCCTATAACAAGTCCTCTATCCCTTGAGGCGAGGTGCGACATCATTTCGGGAAGACCAGCGCTTATAAAAACCAATAAAAAAAAATTTTAGACTTTTTCATCCCGTCTCCTTGTGGAAGTGATTTGCACTTTTAAAACTTTTCCAGTTTATCCAAGTTGTCAACTTTTTCCTAGTCTTTAGGGCTTAACGGACTCGGGATGTTTTGACAACGTATGTGAGTTTCTTGTTAGAGCCGGACAACGATCACTACCCGAAGCGGCAATGACGATGGTCCCTGAGGCATGGGAAAAAGACGAGGTTCTTCTTTTAAATTTCACGTTATCCATTCTTTGGAGAGAGTTTGAAGGGTTTTTAAATATCCCAATTGCATCTCAGGAAATGGACCATGACAAGAGAGCGTTCTATCGATGGGCTGCTATGGCTATGGAGCCATGGGATGGACCTGGTAAGTTATCGATGTACGTTAGGGTACTTAAGTGGGGAAAACTGAGGCAGTGTGGGGATCGAGTAACTCTTCGAAAGTACGCTTCTCAAAAATGAGTCCTTGCACATTTCTAATTATTTCTCATCGGAATGTAAAAGGAATTGCGTCATCAGGGAGCTGCCAAACGTTTGGGTTCCCTCTCTCGGGGTGCTTTTTGTGGCATATTCTCAGTGCTCTACCATTTCGGCTTTTCTTCCGGGACCAATTTTTAAATGATGACTCCTGAAGGCCCAATGAATAGTTCTGATTCCCTAGGAACAACTTAAGGCTGCCTCTACTTTGTAGTTTCTTTGAACTGCATGTTGCAAAGTTTCAATTTCCATTTCGTTTTTGACTTAAAACAAGCAAGAACCACTTGAAATAGGAAATTCATGAGACAATTCATACGTCAGCAGTTGTCAGCGTATGATTTTACGAGCAACGCGGGGGAGATGGGATTGGATTCGATAAGTTGTTGGCCCAAAACTTCGCTCTCTGCTGATTGTTTTGAAACCGGAAACTACTGAATGGGTTATGTTTACATGGGAAAGTGTGACTCGGAAAATCAAAGTAAACGTCAAAATAGTCAAAACGTCCTAAGTGAATAGACTTTTACCTCATTTTACGATGCGCATGTTCCTGTGAGAAAATGCCTCCTCCCATCTTCAATGGAAACTGGTATTCCTCGGTTAAGAGTAATTTGCGAAATATTCGAAAACATCATGATTTTGTCAAAAATTGAAGACTTTTTGGCTTTAATGTGATATTCTATGAAAGCTAATTTAGCTAAATCACAACGATCGCTTGAACGGGACGTAATAGCCTCTATCTCACTGAGTTCCTGGACTACTCCGAAATTTGGTCGCAAAACTATTGAAAAGAGTGTGGGGATTCGAAATGGTTTTCACGGTTTGACACCATCCCCTCCTGCACTTATCATCTGCGGCCTGTTGGAGAAAATTGAATGCCCAGATAGATTTTTGGGAAAAAATTCCCAAATGATCCTAAATTTATCACCCACGCAACTGTGGTTTCACTTTCTTACCATAATCCCAGTTATTTTAGCCCTTTTGGCATTTTCTGATGGTCGTTACGTGGGTGCTATACTCGATCGAAACGGTCTTCGCCCAGCTCGTTACTATCTTACGGCAGACGACCATCTGTATTTGTCATCAGAAGTCGGTGTGAACGATCACGATGAGACGGCAATCGTGAAGAAGGTGCGTTATCAAGAAGTATCAATGACTATTTTATTACCACGTATCACCGAGATGACAACGAGAACAAAAAAAGCGTGACGGACAGTCCCTTGGGACCAGGAAATCCGAGTTGACGAACCCGAATTTCCAAGGAAATTCGCAAGTATAACGAGAGTAGTACGGATTTATTCGGCAAAGAAAACGTTCATATAAAAATACAACCGTGTCGTCATTTTGATAAAGCAGATCATGTCTTCTGAGACCGTAAGTAGTACCTCTTCTACATATCACCGTCTGTGAAACGTGACGTTCTGAAATAATCGGTAATCTACTGGTTTTCTATTTAAAATAGAGCAACAAAAATAGAAAAGTCTGACTATATTTGAATGACGAGGCTGCTAAGTGATTTTGGCGGGAAAAGCTTGATAAGTGTCTAATTAGTTCGTGATTGGTCACATTCAACAACAACCAATAGCGGCTTTGATCTACGCTACGAACGCTTCGTGATCGTTTGACCATAAACGTAATTAGCATGCCCAAACTGAGTTATGTGAGTAGTTTAGAGGGAGGTGATGGAGGTGACGACAGCATTGAATGTGCCCAGAAAGTTTTAGCGCGAGATCGGATATAATCTATTGATGCTGCAGTTTCAAAAATATTTTTTATTGACTTCTTAGGAACTTACCCAATTAGTTCAACTGGAAAGTATTCAGCAGGTAGAGGGTTACGGAATTCTGCTAGATCGACGTTACGCTTTCCAAAGCGCATGAAAATACGATTTGGCACTGATGTAACAATGGCAATGCTGAATAGCAGCATATAGAAGAGAGCCAGAACAGCGCGTGTCGATGACATACTACCTAAAATGAGTGGTTTTGTTACTGGAACAAGGGGATTCGAGCTGAAAGGCTCTACGAAAGGGTGTATTCTGTGAATGATTGGCTGGATTGTATGCGAAAAGTCTGGTGAGGAATAATGATGATGCACGTAGGAGCCACCCAGACAGTGGTGTTTCCTCATCAGGTTTCCTGAAGAGCATCCACCAAGAAAATCCTATTCATGGGCAAATAGCCATAAGTAGATTTGGTGGAAAGGGAATGAATGTAAGGAACGAATCCGATTGCACTCGCCTCGGTTTGCCTAGTTTTGACAGAAACCCAGAAAGAAAAGTTACGTTGAGTAAAACGAATCAAATGGAGATTTGTGCGTGACGGAAGTGGCTTTGCTGATTGGGTGAGTGTGGGGACGTTTACTTGTTATTTTACTATGTTTTGGTAAAGGTGTCAAAACAAAACGCGTGTGTGGAACCAAATGAAGGAAAATAGTTGGTTGTGCGAGTTTTCGGTTCCCACACAAACTTGAGTATTGGGTGGTTAGAGGTGAATGGTGTTCGGAAGTTATCTATAAAGCTGGCGAAATTCGGAGAGACGTTTTTGGAAGGTGCCGGCTGTGCAGTGGGGAACCTTGAGCACATTTCAGCCGAAAATGGCTTCAAAATCACGACGAGGGCAGTATTTAAAGGAAGATTTCTATAGGGTGAAAGGAAGAGACTGTGGATGAGTGAGGAGAGCATGAGAAACAGGGGCGGAGTCCGTCTGGGAACAGCTTCAGAAGGAATAGACTGAGACAATTTGCGTAGTAGAAAGCGCGATGTGGTGTTCCTTTTAAATAAATAATGATCATCAGATGTCTAGATCGGGAAAGTAGCGACGGAATGAATCGTTATGGGATCCAGATTCGGGAATAAGCTGTTTTTATGTTTGATGAAACCTGAACTCTCCTAGGCAGGTAGCATACGGTAGTAGAATGGAGGGTTGCAGAAGTGTCAGTTTGTGTTTTAGTGCAATTTAGTGGCTAGACTTGCTGGAGAGCTCGAGCTCGGAAGCGATTTTTAGTTGCCGGAAGGGTCCATTTATAGTTGGAGTCCCTACCGTAGGAATTGACTGTCACAGTTATGCGCTATCGAAACGAAATTATTCCAAAAGAGATAAGGCTTCTGCTCGAAAAGGTTATAAGAGGAACTGAGTTCAAGTCTGATGAATTACTGCCTTCAATATTAACAAAATTATTATATGCTATGAATAAAAAAAGCCTTCTCAATAGAGGTAATCAAGGCTGTATAATAGAAATAGAGCTTTCCAGAGCTTTCCGAGACTTTCCTATTTCTGTTTGCAGAATGAAAGAATTAATTTTTGTACTGGTTTACTAAGTATCAAAGTAAACGGCATAAGGAACACGTTAATTTTTTTATTTTTTATTATTTTGCTACTATTGTCATGATGCCAAACTGGTTACTGCTTTCTACATTACATGGCGCCAGCAACAGAAGTTTTTCACCATCCCAAAAGTTGGTTGTGAGTCCAGATCGAGTTCTAATCGAACCTTTGGTATGACACAAGTTTGAACATTAACCTATGATCTTGTAGTAACATAAAAGATGGAGGGAACTGCTTTGGCCATTTGGTAATGTAGCTAGTTAGTAATAACGAGTACGAGTAGCGAAACATCAGGTTCTGATGGGTAATGATAGGGTTTTTTTTTGAAATTCAAGCGGATACATACTGATTTTCTTCATGTCATCTTGAAGATGATGTCAAGTCTACTACTAGTACTTAGTTACTAATTACTACTGGTGAAGTTTCTTGTAATTAGACTTCACTCATGGGTGAGTGGGCTGTAGAAAAGTACAGCAGCTTCGGGTAATGTGATTTTTTCAAAGATGTTTGTAAAAAGAAAGTTTGATGAAACGAAAACGATCCAAAGGTCATGGAGGGTAGCTACATGTAGGTCTCAAAGCTGTGGCCACCAGAAAGAGCANGGGACCATGATGTTTAGAAAGTCCGGAAGAAGACGGAACTGCGAGAAACTGCAAATGCAAGGTAGAAAATGGACAAAACTCATAATATTCGAAGTATCTATGGAAACAAATTGAAACCGGGGGGTTTTTTGCTGGGCAGATTCTCAGTATATGTCTAAAATGTTCTAATTAGTGTATGCACCAAAATTCAAGGTATGCCCGATAGTTGATTGAGGTTCTAAGATGGCCACTTGGATTTTTTCATCGGTTTTGTGAATTCTGGAGATTGATGAATTCATTCCATGATTAGGCCTACATCGGAGGGTTTCTGAAGAAACATAGACGACGGCGGGTATGACGCTAGAGGCGTCGTGAAACAAACACGCCTACATCCCAAGATACCAACCACTTATTTCTGATTGGATACGGGACCCTATACTGCAGTTATTTATGATCGTGGTCGTGGTGATGGTGGTGGTTGTGGTGAATAACAGGAACAGACTAATTTTAAAATGAGGTCACTAACGAAGTACCCACAGACGGTGTTTAGATGTTGAGGAAAGGCCTACTGTGTACATTCACAGAGAATACTTAGGTATACTTCGTGATCCCGCATGATATATCTTGATAATTATACAAAATTCACTAGTGGCAGCCGAATTTTGTTTTTCGCCCTATTTTGAACGAAATTCTGAAATGTTCATCTTGAATTTCTTGGAAATATCCCGGTCTCTATCAGAAATTCACCAGTAGGAACTCTATTTTGTTTGTTTTTTCCTCAAAAATACTTTTTGNTTGAAAATTTCGATGGTGGGGTGGCTGACTGTTTACTGGGTTATGTTTTTTTTTTTTGAGAATTTTCAGATTCCGTCAGAGAGTGGTGGATGTTGTCTTCTCCGGTGATGACTTCCCGAATAATCTGTGATATAACCCACTTGAGGCCTCCCATTCACCATTCCTTGTCAACTCTGCTTTAATTTGGTTTTTTATTTTGGTGGAATTTATTTGCTTTGGGACGGAATTGGGATCAAGGAGCACAGTAAAGAGGGTGGAGGTGAAGAGCACTGATTTTGAAGGGCTGGCATCCAGACTAGAAGGATGACGAGGCCAAGTGACGTTTCCAAGAAGTACCAGTTGAGCAGTACCAGGGCTGCTGCATTCTTGAATGTTTCCCTCCTTCCCAGATAATGTATGATAGGCTCCAGCTAGTGTAGTATACATAATCGGTTTCGGTGATAGATTACTGAAGTGATGGGGTTCGGTTGGTGGATTTTGTGGTTCCATTTAGTGAATGATTTGTGGTTACGATGAAATAGTAGTCTTTTTGGTAGTTTATGTGGCGTGTGAAACGGGAATGGGTTTAGAAAAGGCAGGTAATGAACCCAGAAAGACTTATCAGACTCAATCATCCTTTTAAATTTATATTAATTCATTTTTGTTATATAATTCCGATACATTTTTTGCAATTGATTACGTACTTCAATTTGATGTGAAGTATGTATTCAAAATCAATTTTCAATGTGTTTTTATCCATTCAATCAGGAGTTACTGTATAATGTTTTTCTTAATAGCTTTGAATTTCTGTATACACTTCTAATTCCAATTTTTTCTATCGCTGAAGCACTAACCCTCGAAAAAAACCTACTTTTCTGATAGTTTACATGGCCCTGCGCGCTATCATGTTTACAAAAAGATTCATTTATTTTAGCTAAGTAGTAGTATATTCACAAGTCGGTCCAGGTCATCTCCCTCTGCAAATTGCCAATCGATCTGGACGAGTTTCACTTTGATTACGGTTATTATGGAACTAGAGATGTGTCCAGCATGAAACGCACTAGTTGAATCGTTTGGTTTTATGGATATGAAACCGTAGCCGAGTAATTTGGCCGGAAACGGAGAAATCCATTTTCCGGATATCCTTCAACACCTGCCTCTTTCAACTTTCGCCGGAAAATGTTTTATTGACTTTTAGCTCCTTTGAAAAGTACATGGAAAATTGTCCAATGTTGACTTTCGCATTGAAAATGTCAAAGTTTTGTTAGCCCTTGGGCTAAGTTAAGGTGATTTGAATCTAGCCCGATGTTCATATAGTGATTCAAATGTATACTAGTTTTGCAATATTGCAAAAGGTCTGAGATCAACTCCTTTATTCGTCAGTTTAGCCCAAATTGATCAGGCCTTCCCCCTTTCCAGGTCGGATAACATATACCACACTCCACCCGAAGTATAAAAACTCTGATCGGTGGGAGAATGTATGACCGGATACCTTTCAACTATAACCACGATGCCGAACTGGAGTCGAATGCATAGGCTATTCCGAAATTGATTCATTCACGAAGAACCAATAATTTTTTATATTTTTTTTGGCTCTGGGAGGGAGGAAAAGAATGAGGTAAACCGTGCGAAATAATGATGCTTCCCGTCCATTTGCAGCCCAAAGTTCCAGATGATTTAACGTATTTCAGTGAGTCAAACAACTCCTTTTCAAAGACAAGTCGATAATTACTGGTGATTTCTAACAATAAAACCTGGTAACGACAGTTTGTCTAGATAAAGACTTCAAAGTGAAAACCATTTCCTGTTCAGCCCGATCTAATGCACGTGACCATGAAGCTGCTTTCCATGTTTGCAACTGGTTACCGCTTCCCTATGAAGTTCTCGTCCTGGTAGCGTCAAAACTGGTCCTCAATTGGAACTTTTCAAATGTGGCATCCCAGTAATCGTACTTTACTGAATGCACATTAGAGGAGGGCTACTAGACAGTACTGAAAGTTATCGCTAGTGTTCAGTCTGGGGAGAAAAAAGCTGCTGGTGACGTTTTATTTGGTGCAGGACCAAATTGCTGGGGGTAAGTATGCAATCAAGAAGGTTCAAGATGAAATGAGCGCTGTGTGCATTCATCATTGTCCCCTCTAGAGCGCACCCACAGACTGCTATTGTCCTCGGTTTTCCGGGGCCGTTTTTCTTAAGGGCAAGTGGCCAGATTAAAATTGCTTTCCGTTCTGCGAACGGTAGTCGTCGACAGGGATAGCCATTGCCATTAATCCTGCACCCCAGA